TTGTACAGTGTTGAGTAACAGGAACTACTAAATTGAATTGGCGAATTCCTGACGCTCCATTTTTAATCCATCTGTATAGTCGATCAAGGATACGCGTGCCCTATTGATGGGACCGATAAGGATATGTTATAAATCCCGTTGTAAGAGTAGGCGACCTTGTACCGTGCACCTTATTCCGCATAAACCCAGGGATCGATGCTCGAGGTGCTCCATATTTTCCATAATCATATGCAACCAGGGAGAGAGCAAACTTAATTGTGAGACGTTGCAAAGCTTCATAAAAAAAAAAAAAACAGTTCTACATTCATAAACGACATTATTTTGCAATCTCTTTCAGTTCAACCTTTGCAATCTGATTGTTTAATAATGGAGACTTCTAAAGAATCCATGAAGAAATAAATGTCTATCAAGATGAATTTGTATTTAGAATTTCATCAAACTCAAAATTAATAAATTAATTTTAGATTCATAAATTTTTCTGCTGTGGATGGATAATAATTGTCTACCAACAAGATGAAATTGTATTTGTGATGTTACTGAATTGAAAATAAAGAAAACCAGTATTGTTGAGAACATAATGAAATTATCTCGTTTCGTTGGCGAAATGAACATTTGCTGACCTCATCCTACGCTTCTTCTTTTCGCGTTGCGGTTCGATTACGCAAAGCCGAGCGATGGAATAGCTACAGGTTGCCGTAACACGGGAAGCAACGCCCGTAATAGATGTACACTTTAGATTAAGGATCGTGGATGATGCGCAACGTGCAACGAGATCGCTCGACCGCTCGGACAACTAGCTTCGGGCAGCGCAATCATTAATATTTGCGGAGGACAGGATTACGATATCGGTTGTACTTATACGGACGCTGACCGAGATAAGGTCATAATTCGCGCTATCCTTTTATTTGAGATACACTTAAAAGCATTTGCGAAACGTGAAACGACTTTCCATGTTGACGCAATCGATATCGCAGATTGAACTCAATATTAACTTCCGAATTGACATTACTTACTAAACCTGTTTCATAGATAATGGCGGTAGGTGGATTTGAAATAGAAAACATAAACAGTATCCTCCTACATTCCTGCATTTCATTAATTATTCATTACTCAATTTAACTTATTAATAATTGTCATACCTAAATATGGATGAACGCATTTAAAATCATTTGTATTGCGCAACTTCCCGATTTGTTTTAAAAAAATGTATTAACAGAAAACAGACATTGTAATGATACTTCATGTAATTTGAATTACGAGTAGTCTTGTATTTAAGGATGTATTGGCTATACAGTCAATCCCAAAAGTTTATGTACCTTAGAAAAATGCATTTCCTATAATTAAAAAGAAATCAGATGTCGGAAGAACAATGCTAATAATAAATAGCTACGT